CCTCTTATCAACAAGGGTGCCTGAATGAAGCGTATTTGTATACCTAACCCTTAACTGTACCCCACAATATCATAATAAAAAATATTGATTAAAAATAAAAAGAGGGGGAGACCTCCTCTTCTCCAAAACCTTCTGCATACAAGCCAACTAACAGATTTTATCTAATGTGTGATTTGCTTGAGATCTCAAATCTATTGATTCTGCATATGAAAAGTCATACAAGTTGATTTTCTTTCTAATGGTTGAGCAATGAATGCCAGCCTAAACAAATCTCAGTATAAATGAAAAGAAAAATCAATAGATGTTTTATTAAAAGATACAATAGACAACAAGCACCGAAACTACTTATTTTACAAGTTAAACAATACACAAAACAGGGTAACACTCCACATATGACACATTGTGAAGTAGTTACGAAAAAAATACCTTGTGACACTTGCAAACAATCTCTTTTTCTTCAACAGTTGTATTGATCAGGTAGGAAACATATACGAGAAACATTCTGGAACCCACTGTTCCACAGCGAATATATAACATTTTTTCCAGCTGTAACAAAGTAAGTGTTGTAATTAATAATACAGAGTTTTTCCTGATAAATACTCTAGAATGTTTTCACTTTTAGAGTTTACTGTACCAACGCTAAATTTTTTTTTTTGAGTTGGAGTCTCACTCGGTCACCCAGACTGAAGTGCAGTGGCTGCTCCCGGCCACTGCAGCCTCGATCTGCTGGGCTCTGGTGATCCTTCTTCTTCAGGCTTCCGAGTAGCCGGAATTACAGGCATGCGCTACCACGCCTGGCTGATTTTTTGATTTATTGTAGAGATGAGGTCTCGCTGCCCAGGTAGGTCTCGAACCCGCAGGTGCAGGCAATCCACTCACCTCAGCCTCCCAAAGGCGCGGGATTACAGGCTGAGCCACTGAGCCTGGCTCCAACTGGCTAAATTCTTCATCACTTTTATAGGATGCTCCAGTGCAACTAATCAAAGCTCCCACTGAGGAAAAGTATTCTGAGTACATTCCTGCCACAGCATGAGGAGCACCAATACTGCTTTATCACTTTGTATTATCATTCCCAACTTCCCAATAACTTTCTGTTATCAGATTTGGAAACAAAAGTTGACTGAGAGGCTACTGCACTTAGCTACAAACACAAATTATTTTATTAGGCAACAAATTTTCCATACCAGTGAGGGTCATTTGTTCTGAAATTCCTTGACTGCTTAAGACATATTTACATATTTAAATATGTAAAATGTGTGTAAAATGTTCATTAGTTAAAAATTACTTTTTTAGTCCTAGAACATACTGTTAAAAAGTTCTGAAATGACCTAAAATTCACTGTAGATGGGGGGAACCTAAAAACACCAGAATTATCTTTTGGAGGGCAGGCGTCTTGAGTACATGCTTCCCTCACTATGTGTGTGTTCTAGGAACCCACTGGCATTAGTGTACCAGGCAGCATTGTTGTGAGAGGCTGTTGAGCTTCAATGAATTTTTAGATTCTTTCCATGCATTTGCCCATTTCATGATGGCTGATTTATGAGAGCACCTGCCCACACCACAGAGTGTTCAGCAGTTTTTCACCCAAGTGGGCATGATCCCTGTGCCCTGCCCTCCCCACTCTCCCAATCTTGCCCTGAGTGACCTTTTTGTTTCCTTGAATGAGCAAAACTCAAAGTGAAATGTTTTGCCTATGTGGAAGAGGTGGAACAAAAAACGGTGGAAGCATAAAAAAGCATTAAAATCGACAAGTTCAAAAACTGTTTTGAGCAATGGAAAAAGCATCTCACTAGATGTACTGCATCAAATGGACAGTACTTTGAAGGTGACTGACGTTTAAACATGTAAGAATAAATACACAATTTTTTATAAATAAATTCTGAGGTTTTGTTGGGTCCCCCCTTGTACATTTAAAACTACAAATGAACTGGTTTCCTCTCTAATCCCAGTTTCCCAGGCTCACCTGCTCCCCAGGATGTAAGTCTCCCAGAGGAACGTCAGGAAGCAAAGCCGGGTAGGACTCATCACATAGTTCTGTTCCGTGAAGGGTCACGTGAGTTTTCTGAGTTAAATTGGCATCCTGGCCTAAACGTGTTAAGATCAGTGACTTAAAATAGAGAATTCAAATATTATCCTAACAACACTCTGTGAAGAGCACTATTTCACACCTTTTTTTAAAACAAAATTCCCACAGTTAACAACACTGATGCTTATTTTATGCTGATTAATATTGACCAATCTTTTTAAAAAACCCAATGTTTACCTGGTTTTAAACCAGCAGTGAGTTTCACATCTCTGATCTGGGTCTTTTCATGGGACTGTACCGTCACAGTCAAACAATACATTTCATTAGTCAGGGCAGGAGGCTCATGTCGCAGATGTACAGAGATGTTTGGAACTCTGGAGATGATCCTTTGAAAAGAAGCCTTAACTGAGTAACTGATTTTTTTTAAAAGCAAATAAATTATTTAAACAAAGCATTTAAAATAAGTAAGAGCATCGAATCGATTATATGTACATAACCACACATACATTCACACAGTTGTGGGGTACACTGAACTTCAAAGCCCAAATGAACAGCAACACATCTGGCTAGAAGAAGAAGAAACTGTTGTTTATCTTTCTTGCTTTATTTGAAAGTGTACAATAAAGACATTTTTCTAATTATTTTTATATTATTTAGCTTTACTTGTGCTGTCATTCATGTAACAAAGCTGCTCTGCTTTTCTGTCAGAGCTGTCAAAGGCTTTTTGCAGCATCTTATTTACATTTAGAATTTTAAAAGAATAAAGTTTTATTCCATTCTGTGTGAATGGTTTGAGCGATGAAAAATAAAATAGGATGCATGGCCTTTACTATCTGCCCAGCAAAGCAGACTTACATCGTGCTTGCTTGAATTGTTATGCTGTCCCAGTGAACCTCATTGTTGGGTAGCTTGGGTCTTCTTTTGAAAGACCGTGCAGCCTGCAAGGCTTCTTGGGAGGAAGCAGCATCACCTCCTCCTCCCTGCCAGTTTAAAACCACACATCTTCCAGTCTCATTGCCCAGAGCAAGATCCACCGAAGTAATCTAGAACAAGAAGGGCTGTCAGAAATGCTGTCTCATATGTGCTTGTCATCACGCTCCTCAACAAAGATACATTACAGACTGCCATGGAGCTCATCTAGCGACCCACAGGAGAGAAAGCAAAATACCTGCTGTAGAGTCTTATTCTGGCTGGAACATTAACTGTGCACTGGGTTTCCATGTCTTCATCTTTAAAGCATAGATAATAACCTGACTCTCTAGCTAAGAGACAGACTGAACGGTACTGTTAAGCACCTGGCATAGTACCTGATGTTACAGATGCTCAACTAGTGGTTGCTGAATGAAATAATTAAATATTTTGATGACCACGAATACATTATGACCTAATATCTAATTCCCTAAATATTTTTCCTGAAAATATTTATAGCATTAGCAATAAAATGCTTTATTAAATACATGTTTCTTTCAACTAAAAACATTAACAAAAGAACTCAAAATAGGATTATTAATTATTATTTATGTCTGGTAGGTTTCTTCAGACATAAATAAAACACACAATCAGGAGATTTAGTAAACATCATGAAGGATTTTTAAAAAATGAATTTGCAAAAAACTATGGCTACTGGTTAATAATAAAATCAACAGGATCACAGAAACTGTTACAAGAACATTAGTAGTACAAATTTATGAACGATTATCTTCGTTAAGATTAGCTAACCACTCCTATTCAAGTCATGGAAAATAAGCATTGAATGAGTGCTTACTATGTGCTGATCACTATTCTAAGCAATTTACATTAACTGAGCTAATCCTCATGGAATCCTAAGAGATAAGTACCATTATTATCCCCATTTTACAGAAGAATACACTAAGAAGGCACAAACAAATAACTGCCCAGGGTTACCAGCTAGTAAGCTGGAGAGATGAAATTTAAACCCACAGTTTGCCCCCAGAGTTTATGCTCAATAAAGATATTGCTTACATCATATACTTTTAAAAGGCATTTCAATTATCTATATTACATGAATCTTTTACATGCTTTATTTTTTCTTAAAAAATTTTAAAATATGTCATCAGCAATGTTTAAACATCAAAAAGATAAAGACACAGTATGAATTATATATTACAGTAAATACATCTGCTATATTATATAATATACATTGTTTAAAACTTAACTATGTAGCCATAAAAAATGAGCTCTGTCTTATGTACTAACAGGAAATGATGTCTAACATACACTATTAAAAAAGGCAGCTACAGAGCAGTATGTACAGTACACTCTCACCTTTTTAAACTCAAAACAATTGTAAACTACAAGTATGGTCACAGAAAAACGTCTGGAAGGAAATCTATCAAACTATTATGAATGGTTTCCTTGGGGAAGTCCAGGAGGAAGATTTTTACTTTTTACTTAATAAAGTTTTGTATTATTAAAATTTTTTCTGGTATAAACATATACTTTTACAATTAAAAATATTTTTATTCATTTATTTTTTTCCCTTTTTTTGAGTCAGAGTCTCACTCTGTCATCCAGGCTGAAGTGCAGTGGCATGCGCATGGTCACCGCAGCCTCGACCTGCTGGGTTCAGGTCACCACGTCCGGCCTAAAAATATTTTTAAGCAAATTTCATAACTAACCTCAATTTTCTTTCCCACATCTTCAGTTTTTGCAACAAACTTAAATAACAATTTTCTTGTTTTGCCAGGAACTAAGCACATCTTTCCTTGGGTCAAATTTTCTAAAACTTCACTTGCTTTGGATGCCTCTTCTATTACACAGAACTGGTTGTATTCCTAAAAAAGGAGTTAGCAAAAGTCATCAAACATCATATGCTTTGCTAACACTAAACACCAAGTCATTTGGAATTCATTTAGTTTTAACTCCACACTGAAGCATTAAGAAGAGGTATTAATAAAAGTGTTTTTCTACCAAATAGAAGCACTTATCCAATCACTGTTGCCACATGCATAAAACAGTTCAATACTTACAAACAGATTTTTGGAAACATTTAGATAGCCCTATCTTAGAGAGAGACACTTTGTTGCACTAAATGATACTGTCTATCACCTCCTTTTTGTGAAGAGTGTTCTTTTTTCTTGGCTTCTGTGACACCATCTCTTTCCTACTTCTCATTCTGCTTGGTTGCTTCCCCCCCACCCCATGCCCTTTTTCCTTCTTCTTGTCTCTTTAATTTAGAGGTTCCACAAGTTTCAGGCCTTAGCTTTCTTTCAGTTCCACATATCCTGCACCTTTGCTGCTAATATCTCCCACGTAAAATTGTCCTATTTGGTCCTATTTCCTCAATTACAAGCTTAAACCAACAGCTGTCTAGAACAGAAGTCCCCAAACCCTGGGGCTGTAGACCTGTACTGGTCCATGGCCTGTTAGAAACAGGGCCATATAGCAGGAGGTGAGTGGCTGGCAAGTGATCTGCCTTCTGTCAGATCAGTGGAGCCATTAGATCCTCATAGGAGCATGAAACTTATTGGGCACTCAAACTCAGCATGTCCCAGAGTGAACATGTATCTGCCTTCTCAGAACAGCACACTCCTGACAGATGAATGAACAGACAACTTTCATGTGTCTAACTATGGAATCACCTTTCTTAACTATTCAATAAATATCAAGAACTTTCCAAGAACATCTTCTATCTCAGCAGATGAATTACCTTCATAGAAATTCTTACACAATTCAATTTTAAACTTTCTCACTTCCACATGCTCAGAAAAGCTACTCTGCTTTTTTTCCTTATATTTGTATCCTGAATTTCAAATAAGATATATTCATAGTATAAGCTAATTCTTAAAACTAATTGCTTTATATTTTATTTTAGCATTTTTATTTTTGAGTCAGGGTCTCACTCTGTCACCCAGACTGGAGTGCAGTGGCATGATCATCACCAGTTCCTGGGCTCAAGCAGTCCTCCTTCCTCAGCCTCTCAAGCAGCTGGGACTACAGGCAAATGCCATCACACCTGGCTACTTTTTTTTATTTTTTGTAGAGACAAGGTCGCACTATGTTGCCCGGAATAGCCTCAAACTCCTGGGCTCGAGCAAACCTTCAGGCTCAAGCAATCCTTCCGCCTCGGCCTTCCAAAGTTCTGGGATTAAAGGCATGAACCACTGCACCTGAATTATTTTAGCATTTTTGTTAGTTTTTTAATTGCAGTAGTTTGTTTATTGTAAGAAAGAAAGGAAAGGAAAAAATGGAAAAGTAAGATATTAAGGGAAAAGTAAAATAAGAGCCCTGTACTGACTTTCTAATTCCAGACTTATTTCATGGTGAGAAGAAAAAAAAAAAAGACTTGCCCTTGTGAAGCTTAGATTCTAGTAAGAAAAACAAGTAATTTATCAAATAATCATACATGCAAAAGTAAAGCATAGGTGTGACTAATACAATTAATGGCTATAAAAGCCTAAAAGTCAAGGAATTAACTAGCCAAAGAGAGGAGAGAAATTCCATCCAAGTATGTACAAAAGCTCCTGTCTTTTGTTCATCCTATCCCCATTCTTTATCCTCTCTACACACTCAGCAATCCAGACTCAACTATGTTTAAATGTCTCTTGTATCCCTAAATCTCCATTCCCAGCACTAGATCTTAATCCAAATCCTCATGCTTTTGTTCCTAGATAAATATAAAGAGCCTCAATTGGTTTCCATGATATTATTTCTTTGTATTTTGCTACTAGAATAAAATTTCTTAAACATAAATTTCATGCTCTTGCTTTAAAATTCTCAAACTAATGAGAAGGACTCCTTGGGTAAGGGTCTGTGTTGAATAAAACACACTGTTCTGCAGGAGACTGAGCTTTATCTAAACATTCCATTACAGGAACATTTCTCACTTCTTATCAATCAAATTCTACTAAAACAGATATTAACCTCTCTTTACCAGCATCCAATACATAGACAGAACACAAATAAAAATAAATAAATAAATAAATTTTGAAAGACACCTATTTATTAGTCTATCTCTGCTTAACTCTTTAAGGTTCCTTTAGGCCACCAGTCTTACTTCACACTCCCCAGCATGACAAACCGTTGCTCCGGTGAGACTCCTTGCCCAGAAACACTGAATGTGTCCTCCTATTTCCACGCAGTGTTTTCTTACCATCAAACATGTTCTGTCCCTCCGATCTTTTTATATCTTATGTTCATCTTCCCTTTCGTGACTTCCTTCCTTTTCTTGGGCATGCCTATTACAACTGTACTTCTGGCCTACAGTACATAATTTAGTCTTCATTACTTACTTGGGCAGTCTTTGAGTCAGTCTGGCCCTTGCCCCAAAATACTACCATTTTAATGGGGCTGCCATCAGCCATACTCTTTCAGATTCAGAATGCTAAGAAGACTAGGATGCTCAATACATGCTTGTTGATTAAAGGCTCACCGTATTTTCTGGGTGACTAGAAGATGATGATCTATTAAGTGCACTTATGACTGCAAAAGTTGTAATGTAATCAAGTACTTGACTATACTATACCACACTTCAAATATATTAAAATGCAGCAATTACACTGTGATGCTAATTCTGCAGGGAAAAAGTTGCCTTTATACGCATGTACTGAAAATGTCTAGATCATTCTGAAGTTACAGAGAAAACCTGTATGAGAAAACCTGTATGAGAATAGAATTGGAAAGATAACACTTCCATATTTACTTTTAACTTTATAACCATCTATTCCATCTCAAAATTTTGTTTGTTTGTTTGTTTTGAGTTCGAGTCTCGCTCTGTTGCCCAGACTGGAGTACAGTGGCACACTCCCGGCCACCACAGCCTCAACCTGCTGGGCTCAGGTGATCCTTCCACCTCAGCCTTCCAAGTAACTGGAACCACAGGCGTGCGAGGTCTCGCCAAATTGCCTGGGTGGGTCTCGAACCTGTGGGCTCAGGCAATCTACTAGCCTCAGCCTCCCAAAGTGCTGAGATCACAGGCTGAGCCACCGAGCCCGGCCCCATCTCAAATTTTTAACACCAAACATAAATTATAATTGTTCTATAATCACAAACAAGTAACATTAATAATACTAAAAAAGAATATAAAGCAAATTATTTTGAAGTTATATTACATTCATTTTGAATATATCCTATTTGAAATTCCAGTTACACATTACAAAAAGTATACACACAGAATTCTTAGAATTCAGAAGCATAGAGTGAAAACAAAAATTAGGGTAAGAAAAGTGTAAAACGTGAATTGCGGGTAATGAAGTCTAGAAATATAAGTATATTTTCTTTTAAATAGATCTTACAAAAGCTTACACTATGAAACCTGTAAGACTTAAAACTCACTAAGCTCATTTTATCTAGTCTAACGCAAGCTACAATAAAATACATGCAAAACATAAAAACATACCATTACCTGATTATTAAAGCTGACACAGAGCTTGGAAAACCTAATGGGGTGTGGACAATCAGCCTTCAGATAAATATCAAACTGAACAGGAACATCAACATGAAAACTTGGGGCGTGAAACTTGGCTTTGCATTGCACTAGAAATAAACAAAAAGGGCCGAGTTACACACTACCAGATTCCCAAGACTCATATGCATGACTACATTATTCTGTGAACCACATTTGCTATTTAGAAAAGACATATATGCACTGGCCATTCTTACTGACTTCTGCACTTAAGGCATTTCAAGAGAGATACATGTAGCTCACTTTTTAAAATAAAATTTAAATAAATTATATCTTCAAAACCATCTTTAAAACATAGTTGCTTATGAAATGTAGGTGATGAGATTTTAAAGGAAAACAATGTTAACTTATTTCAAAATATCTGCCTAGACAACAAAGCATAAAAACTTTTGAAATAATTGTCTTTTCAAGTGTTTCTAATAACTCCTGAACTACAAATGAACAAAGTTTGTTTGGAGACATAAATCAAGTACTTAAGACTTGATTATTTTTCTAAGTAACTGAGGAGAAAAAAAATTACAGTTTATCCATAAAATAATAATACTTTGAAAATTTATCCTTGATTTTTATATTATTATTCTGCATCTATTGGTTTTATAGAAATAAGAATGATTTCTCTGAAATAATATTGTAGATGTTGGCTACCTACCAAATGGTACAAAGTCCTGTACTCCTATTGTGAAAATATTGGTGCCAGCCAGAGAAACTCGGTCTGCCCACAGCTTCTGAGCAGTTTTCACAGCTAAGATATCACAGTCGGGTTCTGGATCAGGACTTTCATTCTGCACCAACACAGGGTTAAACATTCATTCAACCAGTTGAAAAAAAAAATACACATATATGTAGATATAGACACAGGAATATATATTGCTACAACATATTTTATATAAAAAATACCAACCTACCATTAAAACATTTATAAGGTTCTTTTCTATTCGAGATTTCTGATCATCTTTCAGAGTTGAAGCTAATGTGAAGTGAGAAGGAAAAATAATTAGAAATATAAAATAGGTTAAGTAAGCCTACTGCTGTCATTTAATATTATAAAAGTACTTTATCATAAATCACTCTTCTAAGATAACTAAGCGCAGTGACTTGGACATAGTGAAAGAACAATTAAATATTTGAGACTAAATTATTCTTCAAATTTTAAAAAGTTTAAGGATGCTAAATAATTTTACAAACTAAGCGTTTTACTGAAAGAACATCAAGTTACCTCTCCCAAGGAGTTCTAGGGAATAAGTAATATAATCCTTTAACTGGGCCATGAGGTAGGAACACTTCAGAGCTGTAGTCAGTATAGAGGTGAGCAGAGTCCACCATCCTTCACTACGATAATCACACATCACATAATCCAGCAACCTGGAAGACAAAATATAAGATGTACTGAAACAGCTTCCCAAGAAAGGGTCTGAAGAATTCTTGGGGAGAAAAAAAGCATCTTTCTCATTTTATATAAATATAAGAACATTTTGCTGAGATAGCTTAACAGGTATTTTCACCTTTAGTTGAATGTGAAATTTTGAAAATTTTTGACATTTTGGATAAGATTGTGCCATAAATGGCACCAGAAAAAATATTACAGAAATGTAGTTTAACACAAATAGAAATAGATGTGAAAATAATAAATCTCTCAAACAATCTCTATTCCTATTTCACTGTAAGGTAATCTAAATGCTTATAAAAATACATAGTGGATAAGACTCACTTTAAAGCTTTGGTATAATCCTTTGCATAATAATATTCTTCTCCCATCTGAACCACTATAAAGGAAAAAAAATTATATACATAAGTTAAAATTTTTCAAAGTTTCATGAAATTGTGGCATGTTATGCATACATACTTAGATGACTTTTCATTCTTGGACACTTATACTTCTTAAATTGTGCAACAGCATTACTCAGAAGAGTTATTATTATTTCCTGTAAGAAAAAATGAAGTGTGAGCCATTTCAATAAAAATCTTCTCATACTTTCTTTGAATACTGTAAAAATTAATTTATATTGGAGGGAAAAAACTTACAGAGTGAGCAACATTTCTCTCCCTTAGCTGAATGGCAAGAATTCCTGCCTTCTCTTTTTCAGGATCAGAAAGATCGAAACCTGTATAAGATAAGACACGACCCATCTTAGATAGTACATTTAACATAGCTCTTCACATCAACACTGCACATGTACACTCCTTGAATGCTTTAACATATTTCAGATTCTGAAACATTCTAGAATCTTAAAGGTTCTAAGAGACATCATTATTACATGAAAACTCCTCTGTGATTTCTGTTCTGAAGGGACCATTACTGATCACAATGTTCTGTGATTTAGTGGAATCAACCATATGAACAATAAGAGGGGTGAACTCCCCCAAAAATGGAATTATTTTTGGAGGACGGGCCCCTCATAATATGGGCTTTCCCCACCAGTTAAGTGTTCTAGGAACCCATCAGTTTCAGTGTACCAATTATCATTGTTGTGAGAAGCTGTGTTCAGCTTTAGTGAAACATTTTTTGGAGACTTTCACATTTGCCCATTTCACAATGGGTGATTTACAAGTGCACCTGCCCATACCACACTGAGTGCTCAGCAGCTTTTGACCCAGAATGGCATGGCCCCTGTGCCTCACCCTCCCTGTTAATCTGCTCTCATCCTGAGCGACTTTGCTTCCCCAGATGAAAAAGTCCTCAAGGGGAAACGTTTTGCCGATGTGGAAGAGGTGAAACCAAAAAATGGCCGAAGCACTAAAAGGCATAAAAACGGAAGAGTTCAAAAACTGTTTTCAGCAGTGGAAAAAGCATCTCAATAGGTATACTGCAGCAAACAGAGAGCACTCTGAAGGTGACTGAAGTTTAAACATGTAAGAATAAATACACAATTTTTTAATAAACAAATTCCGGCTTTTTAGGGTCTCCCCTCTTAATATCAGTATCATCCTCTACAGAGAATACATTCTCTAGAGATTAGAGTAAATAATTTCTTAACACTTAAGCCTCAACTGTTCAAATCAAATTGTGTATAAAGCACAAACATGATGTAAACAAACTGTTTTTAAGGTGATACATGCTAACGCTGTTTTAAAATGCCAAATCATTAGAACTGGAATTAAAATATTTAAGTAGACGATGGTGGCTTATTGTGTCATTTAAGACAATCAATGTCCAAATGTTGCTTCTTTTCTTTTTTTTGGAGACAGGGTCTTACTATGCTGCCCAGGCTAGAATGCAGTGGCTATTCATAGGCACAGTCACAGCAATCCTCCCTAATAGCTGGGACTACAGGCGACGCCACTGCACCAGTTCACGTGTTTTAATCACATAAACATTTTTAACTATAAAGTCAGTCACTCTAAGATGGAGTGATATAAAGCATCCTAAAAACTAAAAAATTGCAAATGTTAAAAAACAATGTTTAAAAAGCATACATTTTTACTTCAACATAATTTCTTACGCCTACGCAGCTGATGGAAAAATTATAATACCTATCTTTGCCTTTTGAGGTTGAGAGAAAAGGGTGGAGGGAAAAGTTATTTACTTAGTATTCCTTGTCGCCATGATCTTTGTCCATAAAAGTCAAGAACGCCTGTTTGTGTTTCTAAGGGATCAGGATTGGGATACATTACAGAAGCCTGTAAATTAAAACACAAACCTAAATAATAGTTTACGTAACCCATCCCAAACTCTTGCCCAATCTTTCACTGAACAAAAAGTTTTCAAAAATAGGAGCACACATTCAAATATCAAATTGGTGGACATTTTAACAAAACTTATACTAATATTAATATTCAGGTACTCATAAAAATTCATCAATCTGATTCAGAAAAAAGATTTCATATAGTAACTAACTTCATCACACTTACGTTTTTATTTATAAACCAGTACAAATTTATTACAAATTATACTTGGTATTTATTCCATACGTATAAGTGCTCTTTATAAAAATGAAAGCAATATTATAAGGAGGTTTAAAGAGAAAACACTATTTTCCTTCTTTATCGCTTCGTATTAAGTCCTGGTATTGTGGGAGAATTTTTTTGGAACCAGAATTAAAAGATTTACACTGCTCTTTCTTCTTTGTAATTCATTCCCTATGAAACCAAAATGTAATATGTGTACACTGCCGAAAAATGTAGAGAACACCCAAAAGGTAAAGAATTAACATTTAAATCACTCACAAACCTACTATCACTGTTAAGAATGGACCGTAGAGTCAAGCATACTCAGTGATCTATCACAGAAACAAAGAACAGAGTACCATATGTTCTCACTCAAAAGCGGACCTTGAACAATTATCATAATACTACAAGAAAGGGATTGGTAGTAGTGGGAAACTGCCAGGAGAGGGGGGATTGGATTGGCAGTTGAGAGAAACTGCTAGGGGAGGGAGGTGCACACCTCATCAACAAGGGTACCTGCATAGTCGTTTGTATATCTAACCCTGAATTGTACCTCACATCTTAAAAAAAAAAAAAAAAAGAATGTATTATATACATCATTCTTCCAGATTTTGTGTGCAAAAATTTGTTAATGATTAAAATAATTTTTCTTTTTTTTCTTTTTTTTGAGTTGGAGTCTCACTCTGTCACCTAGGCAGAGGTGCAGTGGCACACTCTCAGCCACCGCAGCCTTGCCCTGCTGGGCTCAGGTGATCCTTCCGCTTCAGCCTTCCAAGTAGCTGGAACTACAGGCACACATCACCAAGCCCGGCTAATATTTTTTCTGATTTATTGTAGAGATGAGGTCTTGCCAAGTTGCCCAGGCTGGTCTCGAATCCATGGCCTCAGGCAATTCTCTCACCTCGGCCTCCCAAAGTACTGGGATTATAGGCGTGAGCCACCATGTCTGGCCAGAATAATTTTTCAACCTACTTTAAATATATTCTGTACATTTCACTCATCATTAAATATATTTTTCCAAAACATTATTTTTCATGGCTTCCTGCTGTTCCATATTTTATCAAATTCTCTTTAGTTATTCATCTTATTTCTAGATTATATTACAATTAATAAACCTGTGAGAACAACTTTATAAATAATTATTGGTACTTATCTCTTAGGATTTATTTTCTGCCCTTGTATTTCTGAAAATAAAATTTCAGATAAAAGATATACACAGTTTTAAAGTTTCTCAAATTATTTTCTTTCTTTTTCTTTTTTTTTTGTTTTTGAGTTAGAGTTTCACTCTGTTGCCAGACTGGAGGGCAGTGGCACACTCCCGGCCACCGCAGCCTTGACCTGCTGGGCTCCGGCGATCCTTCCACCTCAGCCTTCCAAGTAGCCGGAATTACAGGAGCGTGCTACCATGCCCGGCTGATTTTTGGTTTATTGTAGAGATGAGGTCTCGCCAAGTTGCCTGGGCGGGTCTCGAACCTGCGGGCTCAGGCAATTCACTCACCTTGGCCTCCCAAAGCGCTGGGATTATAGGCTGAGCCACCGAGCCCGGCCAAATTATTTTCTTAACAAAAATATTATTTTACATTCTAACCACTGATATTTTTTAATATCCATTTCTTTATATTTATAAAACCTAGCTTTAATTACTTTTTAAGATACTGTGCTCGAGTTATAATATGCCAGACTTAAAAAAAATACATACAATAATGTTATAAATCATATAAAAATAACTGGTAAAAACAGTGATATTATTTAACAGGAAAAAACCCACACATTTAAAGTACTAATATGCAAACTATTTGTTTTTGGAACAGTTTTAAAAGAGTACTATTCATAATAGTCACATTATCAGAGAAAAAATTGCAGGTTTTAATCAAAATAAACAGATATAACTATATAATATAAATGTTATTTATATATACCATATTCTTATTTTAAAGACACTTATGGGGAAACTAATATCTAAATGTAACCATCCAAGAGAAAGGCAAAATGAAATGTCAAGTTTAAGAAACTATGCAATTAACTAACAGACTCTTAAGAGTTTTCCATAGAGGAAAACTTCTCTTGTGGGTCAAAGTAGAGCACCCTCCTCTAATCTCTTCCAAACAAATATTGTTTCTATAATTACTATAGCAATGAATTTATACTGTGACAAGGACTAAAATGTGACTTTCATTTTAAAGTAGTTTTCTCTTGTCTAAATCATTAAATTATTGCTAAACATAAATTAGTTCTTCAAAGAAAAACTGCTCAACTCACAGGTAAAAATGGAGTACTCAAACCAAAAACCATCTTAACTCCTAAAACCAAAAAATATATAAACTGATTATATTTAAAGACACCAATCCATATTAGCTTCTTTCAAGAGAAGATTAATTAATTTCCTAAATGTTAGATAATATAGAAGTTGGTAACTTACTTCATGGTTACAGAGAGTTTTTGCAAGTTGTTTCCTCTCCTGGGCATAGTATGCTGCCTGCTGATAATAGAAACCAGGGTTCTGAGTTTGAATAGCTGTTAACCCTAACTTAATAGCTTCATCAAATAAATCTCCAAAGGCCTGGAACCTTGAAGAAAAAAAAAATCAAGAAATAAAAAAGAATTTTTTAAAAAAAAGCTTACTTCTAGTAATTATTCATCCAGGGAACCCTTAACCACAACAGATTGTATTAAAATAGTACTACTGATTAACAGTTAATATTTATTACAATTTCTTTGCAAATACACACTAATAGTAGGTTACAGATAAAGTCTGTATTTAAGTCATCTCTTCTGTACTAACAAGTCTATATAAATATGCCGTCAAACTAGATCTCAACATAGTTTCCACCACTCAAATACATCCAAGTTTCTGGGAACAATCTCATTTCAGCAACTCTTAAACATTAGTTTCAAACAGTAAGTTCCATGACAGCAGAAACTTCGCTTCGTTTACTGTTATATTGTCAGGATCTAGACACATGGTGGAAACTCAACAAATTTATGCTGAATGAAAAGGATGAATTAAATGATTTCCATTAAGGAATGATGTGAATCAATATATTATTATCAGGAACAAACTTGTACAGTAGTAAAGTCAGTAAAAACCTACTTACTGACAAAAAATTTAGTTCAGTTTTAGAACCAAAGTCCATGCTAGCTACATTTCTCCAAACCCCATTATTTTTAAAAATATTCTAAAGGTACAATTTAAAACATACTGTTTAGACATCCAAGCAGCATGCTCAAAAGACAACTCCGCACTTCCAATTTTTTTCTTACACAAGTCAATGTGTTTTCGGAACTGAGCAATTGCATCCAACGGTGTATTGTGTTGAAAACACAGCCTACAGATCTGCAAAATGTAAGAGTGATCCCAAAATACTGAACATAAAAAAATTAAAGTCAAAAGACATAGCCATTTAAAAATAAATAAAGTCTGAGAATAACTTTTTAAAAAGACTATGGGATTTCCTTCTCTGAAGTTCGTTGCAATAGAACTGATTTTCTTCATCTGGATGGTTATACCAAAACCAGACGTAATGTCCCTTTTAGAAATGAAATAAAGTAACTCAGTACTTGTACTGAATTTATTCTATACTTTACAAAAGCTGTCTAAAAATATAGAATTTTAAAAATTATTCCCAGTGAAAAACATAAACACAGGCTAAAATAACTCTCTCCAAAAGTAACTGAGAAAGGATAGATTAACCTTTAGTATTAGATTCATCAGAAAGCTAAAGATCTAGCCAGGCTCGGTGGCTCAGCCTGTAATCCCGCGTTTTGGGAGGCTGAGGTGAGTGGATCGCCTGAGCCCACAGGTTCACGACTTGCCTGGGCAACCTGGCGAGACCTCATCTTTACAATAAATCAAAAATTAGTGCGCGCCTGTAGTTCCAGCTACTTGGAAGGCTGAGGCGGAAGGATCGCTGGAGCTCAGTAGGTCGGGGCTGCAGTGGCTGGAAGCGTGCCACTGCACTCCAGTCTGGGCGACAGAGTGCGACTTCAACTCAAAAAAAAAAAAAGAAAGCTAAAGATCTTATTTTTTTTTTTAAGTTAGAGTTTCACTCTATCACCCATGCTGGAGTGCAGTGGCATGCTCACAGCCACCGCAGCCTTGACCTGCTGGAGGCTCAGGCGATCTTTCCTATATCTATCCAGTCTTCTAAGTATATGGAACCAAACAGGTGCACGCCAACATGCTTGGCTAATTTTTTTTTAAATTGTAGTTATGGGATCTCGCCAAGTTGCCCAAGCTGGTCTTGAACCCTTGGGCTCAGACAATCCTCTGCTTTCGCCTCCCAAAGTACTGGGATTACAGGTGTGACCCACTACGCCAGGCAGAAAACTAAAGATTTTCTGTAGCACAATTAAAGCACATCAAACAAGAATTACAAAAAGACTAGAAAACTTTGTGTCTGGAATACTATTTCAAACAGTAATAACCTCTATGTATTTGGGTTAAGAGGAAACAAGGAAGAAACAACGCCTAAATTTACTTTTGTGTGCTTGCAACAACCTTCAATTTCACGTTTTAAGAACAAGAGAATACAGGAAAGTCAGTCTCTCATCTGCCCTCGGCCCTCAGGCATCCAAATTCCTTCTCCTGGGGCAACCGGTTCCTGGCCCGTGCCTCCTGACACATCCTACCGAGACAAGTTATATGTGTGCATTTCTACATAAACTATCCTTTACACAAAGTGCATCATATTGAACATGCTAATTTGTGCCTTTACTCAGAATCTGTTCCTTCGCATCAAACAGTCAACCAAAGTTTTCATCTGGAAGTTTTGAGAAGGCTGCATCACGATTTGTGGAAGAAACTTACTGAGTTGAGGCAAGCAGGTGACTTTCAACATGACAATACACCTGCCAACACCGTGCTGAGTATTCTGCAGTTTTTGACCAAAAACAGCATGATACCCGTGCCCCACCCTCCCTATTCACCCAATCTTGCCCCAAGACACTTTTTTTTGTTTCCCTGGATGAAAAAAGACCCCCAAGGTGAATATTTTGCCAGTGTGGAAGAGGTGAAACAAAAAACAGCAGCACTAAATTAGGCATCAAAATTGATGCATTCAAAAACTGTTTTGAGCAGTGGAAAAAGTGTCTCAGTAAGTGTACTGCATCAACAAAGAGTACTCGAAGGTGACTGAAGCGTAAACATGTAAGAATACACTATTTTTTATAAATAAATTCCATTTTTTTCTTCCCCCCCCTCGTAGAGCTGCCTTATTCTTAATAGCTATATAATGTTCTGCTGTTTAGAGTTATAATTTATATAACCAATCCCTGATTGCTGGGTTTTTTCAAATCCTTTCCTATTAGAAAATATAACAAAAAATATCTATGTATATGAGATTTGCAAGTGTTAGCATATATATCAAATAAATTTCCTAAAATGCAATTACTAGGTCAAAGGGAACATCCACTTTAAACTGATAGCCACTGCAAAATATTTTCAGCCTCAGGATAAGCTGTACCACTTACACTTAAACACCAACAATGAATTAAAGTATCTATTTGCCCACACTTCACCAACCCAGTGCCAGACATCTTTAAGATGAATGTGGAAAAATTAAAAGCAAAACAAATAGTTGCCACTTACCTTTTGAGCACACCTATTTCTATGACATACAATCTTAAAGTAAAATGCTCAAGTAATTGGTATGAAAGTATCCTGTAAAGTGAATAGATATACTTTTTCTGTGCTATTAAACCAAGGAAGGCTCACATAATTCTAATACATTGTATCATTTAGAATTCAATAACAGCTTTCTTCTCACACCTCCCTACTTATACAAAAAAACAAAATACCGAAAACCCTCTCAACACTAAATAACTCTAGAAACCATCAACTCAAAAACTAACCATTTTTTTTAGGGTGCCATACCTTTTTGATATAAAATGATATAAAAGAGGAGAGCATAATTAAAGACTAACTTTTCAGAGCAAGAATCTAATTTTAATTTTCAAATTTTAAAGAGGTAATTTAATGTCTAAAGATAAATTTTCTTTATTCGGAAGTAGAATTATTTATTACCTTGTAGTTTATAAATCCTGCCATAGTTTTAATTTCCAGAATATTAGTTTCATGGGCTCTCAATTCATGCACAAGATTATAGGCAGTCCTATAATTCCTAATAGAAAGAAAGAGAGGGTGGTTAATAATTATATAAATGTAATCAAGAAAAGATTTCTAAGAACAAAATTATTAGAAATAACAGTATTTACTCAACATTTCTTGCACTCAACAGCTCAATAATAACATACATGTCAATCTCTGATTTCCTGAAAAATAATCTATTGATTAATAATATGTGGGAGGAATCAATGACTTTCCATAAAGAACAAAACCATCACATGAACACTGTTCTATCATTAATATCTGTCAATAACCAATAAAAAACAAACTGAAAAGTGAAAGTAAACTGAACAATTGTTTAGAATTACACTGCAAACTTAGCATTCTATTAAAATACATATATTTTAGAAGTACCATTACAAGCTCTCAAACAAAGAGAGAACATATTAGCAAAGGTGATATTAAGACAGAACACAGGTCAACTTCTTCACCCCAAGGACCTCTTCAGACTAAGTGGGCATCACTGGTAGCAGGTAGAGGCTGTAGGGGAGGGACAACTGTCCTTAAGGAAGCTCGGACAGATAGAGAATGGTGGTGAGAAACAAGGGCCTGTGAAGAACAGGGCCCAGCCTGAACATGGAAGGTAATGAGAAAAACTCAAAATAGACTTCTCCATAGAAAAAAACTGTTCTTTCATGAGCGACTCAGGAAAGAAAGTTTGTTCTGAACTTTTTCAGGTAAGCTTATTTCTTTCCAGAATTATTTTTGAACAGAACTGAAATAGGTTTTAAAGTAATATCCATAAAAATAAACGACATTAAAGCCAGTTACAACTACAGGATGTTGATGAGATTCAGAGAATACAACTTGGTGATTAGCACCTCAATAACAACAAAAATGTTTTTGCAAATTCCTGTGAATAATAGAATTTTTTTTTTTTTTTTTGAGTTGGAGTCTCACTCTGTCGCCCAGACTAGAATGCAGTGGCCACTCCTAGCCACAGCAGCCTCAACCTGCTGGGCTCTGGCGATCCTTCCGCCTCAGTCTTCCAAGTAGCCGGAATTACAGGCATGCGCTACCATGCCCGGCAGATTTTTTGATTTATTGTAGAGATGAGGTTTCACCAAGTTGCCCAGGCGGGTCTCGAACTCGCGGACTCAGCCTCCCAACGCGCGGGATTACAGGTTGAGCCACTGAGTCCAGCTTAAAATTATTTTCATTGCCTTCAATTTTTCTCCCCCTCTTCAATTTTAGGATAAATAGCTGCTTTTTATCCCTTTGTCATACTGCCACTGTCAATCTTTAAAATTTGAGTTAAAGCTATAAAGAGGTCACGTTTTATTAAATTGTGCTTAGTAAAAGTGAAGGAATAAAATGTTTAATCACTGCCAACATATCTGCAGCTAATCTTCAAGGCTATAAGCAGAGCCTTTGGATGGAAAATGATGCTACCAACAGGCATTAAAACTAAAAAACAAAATAAAATAAATTTTTTAAAAAACCATACTTGAATAGAATAAATGTACTACTGCATAAAACTTTTAAAAAATCAAGTCTCATTTAGATAATGTTTCATGTATACTATACTACACTTTGAAAATCTGTCTTAACGCAAGAATTTTACCGTGAATACAAAAAAAAATTCAAGATAGAGAAAATTTTTAAATTACATTTCTATAAATTATAAAATTTAATGTTAGTCAGACCAGAAAGTTTTATGACACTATGAAATTTATTTCCAATAATAAATATTTTAAATCCTAAAATATTATATTCCATTCATCTCTAGACTAAGTAAAATATTAAATACCTGAATCTAACCAACAGAAACATTTTAAATTAATTATAGTTTGGTTGAGATTCAGAAATGTCCACTTATGTTACTGTTAGTATAAAAATAAGAAAAATTTAGTTTGAAAACTGTTAAAAACTTACTTCAGAGCATTTTGTGTATCTTGTTTCAACTCACTGAAGAAAGCTATTTTAAACTGATGTCTAACAAATAAGAGCTAAAAAAGATAGAAAAAACACTATTATTAAACATATTCTATTTAAAGCATGAAAACTATGTTTATTACAAAGAGACATATAAGAATGAAGAAAAACATTCAAAGTGGAAATTCAAGAATTATTCCAGCAAACAAGGATACATTAAACAAGGTTATAAAAATCTATCTTTAAGTACTTTATTTTTTTATTCTTTATTTTTTTTGAGTTGGAGTCTTACTCTGACACCCAGATTGGAATGCAGTGGCCGCTCCCGGCCACCGCAGCCTCGACCTGCTGGGCTCCGGCGATCCTTCCACCTCAGCCATCCAAGTAGCTGGAACTACAGGCATGCGCAACCACGCCCGGCTAATTTTTAATTTTATCATAGAGATGAAGTCTCGCCAAGTTGCCCAGGCGGGTCTCGAACCCACGGGCTCAGGCATTCCACTCACCTCAGCCTCCCAAAGACACGGGATTACAGGCTGAGCCACCGTGCCCGGCTATCTTTAAGTACTGTAAAGACAAAGAGTTTAAAAACAAATCTTTTTTTTTTTTTGAGTTGGAGTCTCACTCTGTCGCCCAGACAGGAGCGCAGTGGCCGCTCCTGGGCACCGCAGCCTCGACCTGCTGGGCTCCAGCAATCCTTCCGCC